TGCCTCATGATTGTGCACAAATTAATGTAATTGTTCCAAACCTTGGTTTCCTCGCCTGTTCAATTGGGAATTCACACACCTCCTTCCGGGGGACGGTTTGTGCATTCAAGCGGGAAGTGTGCCCACACCCACCTCTCACCACAAGGCCCTCAGACTTCTATCTGTACTGAAGTGTTGATTTTCTTGGTTTTAGTTACAAAAATGAGCCATGTGGGAATTAGGTGGGAACTCGAGTGTTCATCATGTGCCAGGCTGTGCTAGGCACTGGCGTGTCAGGAATAGGATGCCTCTGATATTTATTCCTTGGAGAAAAGGAGCTTGTGGAGAAGTAGAAGCCCAAGGGTGGCCCATGTCACAGGAGTGAAGAGGTGTTTGTGGGCAGAGCGGGGGCTCCCTGGAGGACAGGGCTTTGCTTCTTTGGCTGCTGGATGGTGGTGTCTTCCAGCCGCTCCCCTGTGTGGAGGCTGTATGTTCAGCTCAGGTGGAATGACCCTGGGTCCTGGGGAGGAAGGCAGCAAGCCTCCTTGTCATTCAGACCAGGAACTGTTACTGGCATTTTAAGGTCATTCTGAGAGATCTGTGAGGGCTTCTTCTCCACCCAATTTAAACTTCATCCCTTGGTTTTCAGGGCCTGAATGCGGATGCAAGCACGAACACGCTCCCCACAGTGAGCCCCAGAGAGCCCTTAGCGCCAGCTGCCTGCACCCTGTCTGCAGCCTATGGGCGCTCCCCCTCCCCCTCCCACCTGCCTGAGTAAGTACCACCTGCCGCCAAGCCTCCATGCCGTCAGATGCCCTTGCCTGGCGTGTGTGGGAGATTCATACCGTGGGTGGCGTTTTTGCAGGGATCCCAAGGTGGTGGAGAAGCAGAGGGAGACCTCGAATGTGGACAGACTTCCTTCTGCCCTCACTACAACAGCGAGTAAATCGGTGCAAGTGAATGGCGCTGCCACGGTATGTTGATGTGGGAAGAAGATGGTTCCTTTCCTGCATCTTGTCTGTCTTATCCAGCTTATCTGCCGTGAAGTCTGATTTGTGCTTTCTGTACCAAATACCTTGTGTATTGGCTACTAACTTTCAACCAAGTGTCCTGCTTCTTTCTCATTGCCACTGTCCCGGGACCTTTCTGTTTCTCTGTTGGTTGAGTGAGGTTGTCTGCAAGTCTCTGGACCGTTGCCCCGCCTTCTCTGTGGATTCTGCTCACTCAGACCGGTGCTGTCACAGCAGACACCAAGCAGAAGCACGGCCGCCTCTACCCCCACCCAGGGCAGCTCTGTCCTGGCCACGGGCCCCTGCAGCTCCTCTCCCTGCTGCTTTGCCCTTGGTGCGCTCGCCCTGTTTGTTCTGATCTGTGTTGTCCTCAGTGTGATCTTCTGCCATTGACGTTTGGGAGTTAAATCCTTAGGTCTACAGGGTTGAATCTTTAAAGAAAAAATTTTTACAGATTGTAATTATTTTTAAGTTAGTAAATGGCTTATGGACATGAAATAGTTTTAAGTTTCTTTTCTACTATTTAGCCTTCAAAAGCTGAAATATTAACTTTTTTTAAAAAGTTTTTTTTTTTAACTTTATTTATTTTGAGAGATAAGAGTGAGCTGGGGGAGGGGCAGAGAGGAGGAGAGCGAATCCCAGGCGGGCCCCACGTTCCTGATGCGGGGCTCAATCCCATGACCCTGGGCTCACGACCTGAGCCAAAAGAGCCAAAATCAGGAGTCTGACGCTCAACTGACTGAGCCACCCAGACTCCCCTTTCTAGAAAGGTTTTTTTGTTTTTTTTTTTTTTTTTTTTTTTTTTTTTTTGTAATTTACAAAGCAATTTAATAAGTTGAGAGGCAGCCTTTAGTGAATTAAATAATATAGGGAGTTTTGGATCTGTAATTGATATACATTCTATTAAAAAAAGGAAACACTTTGTATTAGGTCACCACACTGATTTATACAACATTCAAATATATAAAAACACGAGGAAGTAAGTTCCTTTGTGACCCCAACTGAGGTATCTTTTCTTTAATCCTAAGACAACCAGTTTTAGAAGCTAACACTAGTAAGTTTACAGAAGTACAAAACACCAAAACAGCTTAAGCAGAGACACTTTATTTTTAAGAAAAGTATGTTTTCTCATTTTCTATTCTTGGCATAAATTTTAATTTTTCCCAATAGAACCCAGGTCTCCTGAACCCCTTTCAGTGTCATCCAAAACCTGAACTTCCTCTATTTCTGGATAAAAAAATCCGTTCACAAATGACCTGTGCAATTCGATCACCCTTTCTTAAACTTTTCTTTGCCAAAATTAAAAAAAAAAATTTTTTAACGTTTATTCATTTTTGAGAGACAGAGACAGAGCATGAGCAGGGAAGGGGCAGAGAGAGGGAGACGCAGAATCCAAAACAGGCTCCAGGCTCTGAGCTGTCAGCACAGAGCCCGACGCGGGGCTCAAACTCACAGACTGGGAGATCCTGACCTGAACCAAAGTCGGACACTCAACCGACCGAGCCACCCAGGCGCCCCTTCTTTGCCAAAATTTAGTACAACACCCACATTTCCTCTATAATCTTCACCTATGATGCCAGCTCCTACGTCTATGAGGTGTTTCGCAGCCAAGCCAGAACAGGGAGCTCTTCTTCCATAGCACCCAGAAGGAAGAGCTATCCGAATGTCCCATTTTCACAAGGGCTTTTTCCATAGGTGGTACTGTGTGATCATAGGCATTGTACGGGTCGTAGCCCACGGCCCGCACGGACCGCTTGCTCGGGGCGGTGGCGGGCTCCGAAAGCCAGACAAAGCAGAGCCGCATGGCGTCCTCCGCAGGCCGAGCCCACTTGCTGGGGGAGATGGTGGGTGTCGCTTCAGAGCAGAACGAGAGAAAAGACAGCCGCCAAGGGAACAAGCGGACGCCTCTAGAAAGTTTCTAACTCTGTCTTCACCTTTCCTGAATCCAAATCCACACCACCAGCCTCTGGTAGTTTGAAACGGGCACAGACGTTATTTGACGTTCCTTGGTGAGTGATGGGCTGCATCGCTTACAGGTGTTCCAGGAAGCCCGTGTCATGCGCAGCAGTGCCATGCTTGGAAGGAAACGTGGGCAGAGAAAGCAGGTGCTGCTCCTGCCTGTTTCCAGGGGCACCGTCTCTCACACCCTCTTGGAGGCTTCCGTATGGCGAGAGAGTGTGCAGAGGCCAGTACTATGTGTCTGAGCACCTTTTCTAGTTTTACCCATTTTTACAGGATATTTCTAGAGTATCTCGGAGGGAACCCTGTGTTGCGGGAAAATAGAAGTTGTTGACATTTATGAACCTTTACCGGTGACGGTACTTTTGAATGTGGAATTTGGCTACTGCTGAAAGCTTTGTTCACTTTTACCTGAAGTAGACTTTATTTTCACATGTTTGGAGACGTCATTCTGTGCGTTGTTGTGCCTGTTTCCCAGGAATTGCGAAAACCCAGCTATGCGGAAATTTGTCAGAGGACGAGTAGAGAGCCTCCGTCTTCCCCGTTGCAGCCCCCGAAAGAACAGAAGCCAAATGCTGTTGGTTGTGGGAAGGAAGAAAAGAAGCTCGCCGAGAGAGAGCCCTGTGCCCCCAAGTCCAACCCGGGACCACCCAAAGACCAGAGGAGGCCGCCAGGCCGCCGGCCCTCGCCCCCAGCGGCCGGGAAGCGTCCACACAGAGAACAGAGCACCCCTCCCAAGTCCCCTCAGTGAGCGCCGAGGTCTGGGAGGGCTGTGAGGAACTGAGGTCGCCACAACTCAGCACTGTCCCACTCGGGGCCGAGAGTGAGCCGCTGGTTAGGAGCTTGCAGCGTAGACGGGCCGCTGAGGTGCCTGCAAGTGGTGTTTCTTCCGTGAGTCGGATTTTCCCCCCTCTTGAAAAAAAATCTATTTTTCAGGATTTAATTAATATAAACCTTATTTTAGGTTGGTGCTTAACTGGAGGTGATGCATAAGTCTGATTTTTTTCAGGATAGTAAATGCATTTATCCTAACAAATTGATATTTTTATTAAGCCTCCATGTGGCTATGAATGCAAGCTCTATATATAGTGAGTTTTTCTAAATTAAGCGGAACTATGCTACTTCATTTTTTAAAATAACTGGTTAGCAAGTGCATGTCTCTGAGATGTCCAGACCGACGGGTGGGCTGCAGACGGCTGGGATCGAGGTTGGAGGCAACACAGTCAGTGTGGCCTGGAGAAGGGGTGGGGTCAGGTGGTGCCCTCGCTGGCATGGGAGTTGTACTTCATTCAGAATCTTAGCAAGTGACGCTAGCAGTTGTTTGGGTTTTGGTTTTTTTTTTTTCTGTTTTTTTTGTTTTGGCTTTTTTTTTTTTTTTTTTTTTTTTAAAGTATAGCCTGTTTTTGACCTACTGGGCAAGATGCACCCAAGAGAGCCCTGAAACCGTGAGTTTTTATGTGCTGCAAGCAAGTAACCAGCCTCTCAATCCAGACTCCGTGGCTGTTGTGTAAGATAGAGTCAAAGCACATTGTGAATAGAACCTACATGAAAACGTAAACCTGGTTGCCCACCGACGCGTCACCGCGAAATTGTACCCTGATGTTGTCTTGCTCCTGCGAGCTGGCCCGGAGGACTCGGGAGCCACCGTGGCTCTTGCCGTGGCTCTTGCCGTGGCTCCTGCCGTGGCTCCCGCGGCTCCCCCGCATTAGCTCTGTGGGAGCCTCCCCGTACCTCCGTGTCGGCACACATTGGAAGTGTTACTTAAGTCGTGAGAGAGGTGTGTGCGGTGCCCGTGGCGGTGAGGCCAACAGTTCCCTCCGAGACGAGGGTCTCACTGACTCCCTTCCGGAAGTGCTGCACTCTGAAGAACACGCATGCACTAGCGCTAGCAGTGGATAATAAAGTTCAATATAAATTATTTTGTTTTAAAATGCCTAAATTCTTTCTTTAAGTATTCTAAGCAGCAGACATTAAAATATTTCCTGCTAAATGTAACCATACAGTTTATTCCACAAAATGTTATTTAACAAGACTGAGGTGTTTTTTTTTTTAAAAATTATTTCCATCCAATATTTAAAGACTTGAATTTTATTTAAACTTGAAAATGACTTTGCCTTAACTTTTGTAGAAGACAGCTTAGAGTTGGCGGAGACCGGCCCCTGGGTGGGCGCGAGCGGGCTCCAGAGCCGCTCTGTCACGTGGGGCCGCCGCCGCCGGGGTTTCTGAGTGAGCGCTCCGTAGTGTGGGAGCTGGGCTGGCAGCGGTGTCTGTGATGTACCCTGAAGATCTGCAACAGTTGACCTTTCTCAGATTGTTGAGAAATCCTGTAAATGCAAATAGTCGATACTGTATTAAATATGTGCACTTGGGAGTGTGTGCTTTGCTTGTACAGTTGTAAATAATCAGAACATATTAAAAAGGTACCCTAAAGAGAAAAATCTGATAAAAATTATTGATATATTATAAATGTTGCTATTGAGCTGGATGTAGATAAAACTAAATGTTGTGGTTTGAATATTATTTTAATTTGTTGAGGTGTTTTTCTTTTCCTCTTACGCTGGTGTGTTGGACTGATTCTCCTCTTTGCTGCTGCAGAAGGGAAACGGAAAGTCCTGTTAAAGCTTCCGATGTCTTCATGCTCTTCTTAAAAGTCTGTAAATATGTACTAATCATAGCTAATGTGAAAGCATAATGTAGGAAGCAGAAACTGGCAGGATCTTCAGGAGAACGTAAAAGATAATCTACTTAAAATCATAAATAGCTACGCGCGATTCGCCCTGCCAGAGGAAATCACGCCCTGGTGAGCTTGACCGTGTCCTTCAGAGAAGCTGCCAGTACTCAGATTTTACTTAGAAAAAACAGTGCTAGTATGTTGCAGATGCCTGTAAAAGGAACATGGGGATTCGTTTTTTTGTAGTTGAGGGATCGTGGACTTAAAAAATCAGGAAGAATTGACCTCTGACACCCCAGCTAATGAGTACTGTGAGAAGAGTTGGAAAGGCGAGCCACAGGAGGTCCGCACCGAGCGGTCTTTGCTGGAGGAGGGAGCGGATGCCGTCAGCCTTCATCATCCCCGAGCCGCAGACCTGTGGAGCTGAGACACTGGTTTTCAGGAGTGCCGTGTCCTTCCCCCCGGCCGGGGGGTGTGTGTGCTAGAGCCAGCTGTAGCCATCTACTGCACACGGGACGGAGGTGGTCACTCGTGACAGCAACGGGGCACGGCTAGCCAGTGTGGCGGCCGTCCCACTGCACCCACGCCTGCACCGTACTGCAGCTCTTGTCCTCGTGGCCAGAGTCTGTCGCATCCAGATTTGCAACCTCGCTCTGGTGTTATTTTTATAGCACTCTTTTTAATTAAGCAAAGATGATATGCCAAATAGCTATATTATGTCCAAAAAAGCCCATCTTTCTGAGATCCTTGTGAGATCTTACACTCACAGAAAAGGAGGGGAGCCCACACAAGGGGAGGGTGGGACGCAGCACGGGGGGCGGCCGCTCTGGAGCAAGCAGCCAGCGGTCTGAGGCTTTTGTCCGTTTCTAGAAACGTCACTCTTTCCTTTCCTCAGCAGTACCTCAGGGTGTAGAGTCAGATACGGCAATCACAAATGACGTTTTAACTTGTAAAATTGTGTGGGGATACTTCTAATTTGGAAATAGAGGGATGAGAATCTGGCCCCATTTCACCAGACATGAATTTCAAGTAGAGTAGTTGCTTTTTAAGAGCTGGTGTCCTGATGTTCCTGGTCTGGCCCTCCTGTCCCCGCATCACTGATTGTCACTAGCGGGTGGCAGGAAATGTTTCCTGTTGCTGGATTAGCCAGGAGCACAAGGTTTACATTTAAACACCGGCTCCGTTTGTTCCGAGGGCAGCGGGCGAGGAAGGTGCGCGTCTGTGCCTGCCGCCTGCGAGCTGCAGTCGTGCTCTCGTGCACTTGGTGGCCTGTCACCCGGAGCGCAGCAGACAATCCAAGTCAGGAGCAGAGCGGGATGTAATACGGAAGCTTTCTTGAGGGCTTTTGTTTTTGTTCTACTTTTCATTAAGACTGGAATCAAGCTTACATGTAAACTATTGGTAATTTAAGTTTCCTTTTGTGTCATTCAGTGTAAAACTGTCTAATTTGAAAAATGTAGGTTATGAAAAATAAAGATTTAGGCACTGTTCAATTTTTCTTTTGATTTTTTTTAATTAAAAATTTCTTCAAGAATACATCTTTTTAAGAAATAATTTTTGTGTCTTCCCATTAGTGTATATATATAGAGAATGAAACATGGTTGGTTGCCTCCAACTTGTGTTTGGGTCATCATGGTGCCTCGCACACTGAGCGTCTGCAGCGTGAGGGTACCCCCAGGTGCAGTGGTTTAAGGCACTTGGGGGAGTATTAAATCCCAGATTTGCCACAAAGGTAAATACCCTATGTCGGGATCTTTTGTTTCTTGTTAAATGGCCTGTCTCCCCTGAGGTGTTCCCATAGAGTTGCTTGATGATGGGTCCTTGTGGTTCTCAAATCAGACGTGAGCCTCAGAAACAAAGTAATTGACTTATCCCTAAATACCGGTGATGCCAGCGCTGCTCAAGGCTGAATGGACGAACGTGTTAGTATATTACCGAGTTGATGCACACAGGTCTACTTAGATGTTAATGGACTGATTTTCCTCGTCTGTGAACTGCCTGTTCATATCCTTTTCCCATTTTTCTGCGGCGTTACCTTTTTCTTACTGACGTGGTGTTCTCGATCTGTTCTGGCTATTAATTCTTTGTCTGTTATGTATGTTACAAAATTTTCCCCTCAATCTCTACCAGTTGTCTTAACTTTTTTAGAGTATGTTTTATCTTACAGTTTTTAATTATCATGTAGTAAAATTTATCAATCTTCTCCTTTACAGTTCTAGCGTCTTGGTCTTGTTTATGAAGTATTTCCCTACTCTGCAGGCGTAAGGATAATCTGTGTGCGTGCGCGCGTGTGCGTGTGTGCGTGCGCGTGCGCCCAACCTGTTTGGAATTGCTGGCCTGTGTGTGTGTGTATGGTCTGGGGTAAGAACCTAATTCTGCTTTCGCCATACGGAGAGTACCTTTTCTCCGTGTCACTTGTTATCCTCCATGATGTGTGATGCCAGTCTTGTTATTTAGAGAAGCCCTGCAGGTGCATGCGTGTTGTCTAGGCGCTCTGTCCTTCACTGTCTATAGTTCTGTTTCTTTGCTAACACCATAGGGCCATCATTCGGCATTGCTAGGAATTGCTTTCATGGAACTCCTTGCAGCAGTGATTGAATGTGCTCCACGAAGGCAGAAAGTGAGCCCATCCTGACCACCTCTGTACCCTCTGTTCTTAGTACACTGTCTGCAACATAATAGATGCTCAATAAATGTCTGTTAAGTTGACAAAATATTTATTGAGTATGTATTCTTTGTGCACAGCACTGGCCTAGAAAACTTGGAAGAAATAGGGCAGTGAGTTGCTTTGCTGTTTCCATATAGCCCCCCAAAACCCAATGGTTTGAAATGACAATCACACATCAGGATTGGCTGATGTAGGTTCCTCCCAGTGTCTCCGCCGACCCTCGGCCATACTTGCTCACGGATGTGTGGGGGGTACACAGACCTCGTCACGTGCTGCTCACCTGGGCCAGCAGGCCAGCCGAGGCCTGTGCTTTCACGGCTGTGGGAGGGTGCAAGAGCTGGGCCCCAGCATTTAAGCCCTCCTTCCCCAAGAAGTTGAAGTTGTTGGATTGTGTTCCTTGGTACATCCACATCTCTTACTAACATTAAAGTCCTGTGTTGTCCTGAATCGTGGAGTAAAAGTGACGGTTGAAGAAGTGCCACCAGCAGATGGCCACAGGTTGTGGGGCCTGACGAGCTGTGAGCCCTGTTTTTGCCTAGTGGCCTGTCGTGGTCTTACACCGGGCTCTCTGGGGCCCCTCCCTCTTGACACACTGTTCTGGCCCACCATGCAGAGGCAGGGAGGAGGAAACGGGAAACAGAACAACCGGCCTCCCCCCTCAGGTTCTACGTGTCTGCGGAACCGGAGGCTGTGGGGCGTGGCTAGTGCGTTGGGTGTTCGCCAGGTGGGCCTGGTCCCCGTGCCCCCACAGTCCTGCTCTGAGCTGAAGGGGGCCGGGGAGTCACAAGGAAAGGGCGGTCACTTGGGCCCTCAGGGTTCGGGTGGGGGTACCAGGAGAGGCCGCCTGCTAGCTGACCGAGGGAGGAAAGGCTTTCCGTAGCAGGGGCTGGCAATTGTGTGTCCAGGAGATGGGGAGATGCAGCCATCAGGGGGTGTCCCTGGCACGGCAAGGGCCCCCAATGCCTGGATTCCTCCTAAACCAGATTTTCTCTGAGCCACGGTGGCCACCTTGCCTAGCTGAAACTCATGACTCGTCATTGCAGTGACCCCGTCAGTACAGAGGCTCCGCACGCAGTGTGCGAGGACCCTCCAGAACATTGAGAAGCAAAGCGGGTGCTCCCCGGGGGCGGCCATTTGTCTCGCAGAGCACTGGCTCTTCCGCCCCAGCCACAGGACGTAGGACGTGTGCCCAGTACGCACACAGCGCCAGCAGCATCGGGGCTTCTGAAGAGGCCCAGCTGTGTGGCCCAGATTGCTGGGTCTCAGGCTCCCAGACAATTGGGAGCCACCAAAAGAATAAAGAGCCTGTCCCGGGCAATGACGCAATGACGCTGCCTGCAGCAGCAGTGACGCTGGAGAAGGGCCTCCCCCGTAGCCTGCCGTGCATCTGGCACAAAAAGACTGGAGTCGCCACGTCCAAGTGTAGGAATGGATGTGAGAGGCAGCACCAGGCAGGGCGTCAGCGCCAAACGTGGCCAAGGTTTCAGGGCAGCAGTGCTGTCCATGGTACACAGCGCTAGAGTAGCACCTTTTGTTAGTGACTGCAGGTCTGCTCCCTGCAGCCACGACGAGGGCAGGAACGTGGGGGGTTAGGTCTGGCCCTCAGGGCTGGCGGCACCTGCCCACACTGTGGCTCTGAGGGTGGCCTCCTGGCAAAGGCGGCATCCCAGCCCCTGGCCGCTAGACTGGAGACCAGGCTGCCGCAGGAGCGCCCCGCTGAAAACCACACCAGGAGTCACTTCATCCTGGGACAAGGTTCTGAGAGCTTGGGCCTAATTTGCAAAGTCAAATGAAGATTTCTTCCTACTGACTCTCCTTCCATGAACTTGGGGTTCAGGGTGGGGGGTGGTAAGGACGCAGAGGGTCGTTGTCGGGAATTCATGGTCAAAAGGTGCTTGTGGGTGATGGGCAGTCAGGTCACGAGGGAAAAGCAGGCAGACACGCAAGAAGCCCCAGGACCGGTGCCCAAGTCAGGTGGGCACGACTGGAGGTCAGTAACGCTCACCTGTCCTTCCTCTGCTTGGCTTTGATTTGCTCTTCTCTTCCCGCTTCCTTAGGATTTAAGGTGGTTGATTTATAGTCCCTTCTGAGGCAGGTGCTCCCTGCTGTCCCTGAGTCCCAGCTCTTTGTACTTTTACATTTTTTGACCAGGTGAGTATGTACAAGTGTGTCCTTTCGCTCCAGGTGGTGGGACAGTTTCCCGTTGTCTCTGTGTCACCGGCTCCTGGTCTGGTTCCATTGTGGTCAGAGAACACCGTACGACATGGGCGACCTGGCGGCGGTCTGCCGCGGGACCGTCCTCGGGGCCTGGGGGAGAGTGCAGGGAGGAGCCCTCGGATCCTCCCCAGCTGTCGGGGTGCACTGGTCTGCACACCTGCTCCCGGGGGCTCGCGCCTTCCAGCTCCGGTGGCGCTCGGTCGGGGTACTTTGGGCACCTGTGTTTGGGCACTTCAGGATTGCTGTGTCTTCTCGTGGGATCTGTCCTGTGACCATTCAGTAATCTCCCTCTTGGTTCCCAGGCTCTGACATTTTACTTTATTGGACGTTGGTGTACCGTTCCTGCTTTTCGTTTCCCATAATGCCGGTGAGGTGCACCTTCTGGACCCTTTATCTCGGCTCACAGCTGCCAGTCCCGGCTGTGACCTGGTGCACGCAGACCATTCACACACAAAGGAATCTGTGCGCTGGGGCTGTGTGTTTTCCGTGAGCTCCTCTGTTCCTTTTCTCCTTGCCTTCCAGGGCTTCTAACCTGCTGGATGCTTAAGGTCCAGGTCGCAGGCCGTTTCAAGGACATCAGTGTCTCTGTGGCCGCAGGTATGTTGGCCAGAGCGGTCTCTTCCGGAGTCTCTTCTCACAGGTAACCAGCAGGTTAATCGGTGCCCCTGGTCCGTTCGGCTGAGTGGATTTCCATGGTGCCCGCCTCATACCGTGACGACGAAGACGCGGTGAGCACTTGAAGTGGTACCGCCAGCGCCTGAACCCCGGACCCAGCCAGCGGCGGCCAGGTTCCCTGGCACGTCATCCCTCCGCTGCCAGCAGGTGCGGGCGGCCTGATCCCACGTCCCGGGTCCCGGGATGTCCCTGTTGGCCGGAACCAAGCATGGCGCGTGGAGCCGCGGCCACCGTGTTCAGTTCAGGGGGCCCGTGTGCTGGGTGCAGGTGAGTGAGGAGCCACGGCCTGGTGGATGGTTTTGGGAGAAGACGTGAGGCGGAGCCAGCTGCCCTTGGGAACTGTCGGGGGGACGGGTCCGAGATAGGGGCAGGGTCGGGAGAACACGAGACAGCCCAGAGATTGCATGGACCTGGTTTCGTGGACAGTCAACGAGTGACCATCCAGCTGATTGAGGGTGGACAGTGTGGACGATGACCATCAGCTGACAGAGGGAGGACAGTGCGGATGAGTGACCACAAGGGTGCCTGAGGGTGGACTGTGTAGACGAGTGACTGTCCAGGCGTCTGAGGGAGTGGATGGTGTGGACGAGTAACCATCCAAGTGTCTGAGGGTGGACGGTGTAGACGAGTGACCAGCTGGGTGTCTGA